CTCCCTCTCCGAACTTATATTCTGGTGTTAGGTATAAAGGAAGTCATAAGTAGGTGAGCAAATACAATATTAAGTGCTATGTAGAAAATGAGAAAATGGACTCAGGGCAATTTAAATTAAGGAAGGACAACAAATCTGGAAGGTCTTCTTTGAGGCAATATTTTAACTGAAACCTAACAAAGTAAAGGTGTGAGCCATAAGGAGTGGTGTGGAAAAGCATTTCAGACAGAGAGAACATGCAGTCCTGTTCATTCAAAACATGCCAAGTATTGAAAGGCACAGTCAAAGGAAAGAACATGGTCTTCTTAAGGAATCAAAGAGGACCACTGTGGTTGGACAGTGAAAGGGGAAGCCAAGGCAGAGCCAAGTGAAATAGGAGAGGTGAACTTGGCCAGAGCATGCAAGGCCTTGGAGGCCAGTCTTTCACAACCTGTATGAGATTGTAGCACCGTACCTCTTACATTTTGTCTCCCCGTTATTGATAGGAAAATGTCCAAATTTTGTGTGATGATCTTCAGGTCCCTTCCTGTGTTAGAAGCTGTTTGCCTTACTAATCCTGTGTCCCCAAACAGTCCAGATTCCCATGGGATCTAGGTAACCCAGATATCCTTCCTTTTCACATGCTGTTCCTGCTTGACTGGCAATACTCCTCCTCCATGTAATGACCTGGGCTCATCTTAAGTTTTGTTTTGTTTTTTTAAAGATTTGTTAATTTATGCATACAGAACTAGGTTACAGGCCACAGGAGCAGGGGCAGTGAGAGGATTCACCAGAGATAGAGTGGGGAGCAGAAAAGGCCGACTGATGAAGGAGGAGCAGTGGACAGGTCAGGAGAGGTCTGCGTACCATGTGGGTCACCTCTGGGGCAGGTCTCGAACTCATGCTGAAGTCGCTTTAGCTTCTTAGTGCTGTGCTTTAACCTGCTGAGGGATGGTATGCTTTAACCTGCTGAGGGAGGGCCCTCATCTTAAGTTTTATAGGAAGGGTCAAGATGTTGGTCTCAGTTATTTTACAATCAATTCAGTTGTAATTGTGGACTGCTGGTCCCCATCTCTCCCACCAGCCTGGGTCCTTCTGAGAATGTTAAGAGTCTGAATCTTATGTGTAGCAGAACTCCTGGTGCCTAACATAGAGTTAGCATTCAGTACACATTTACTGAGGGAAGGAGAGAAGGAAGATAGGTAGGCAGGAAGAAAGAAGGTAGGCCTTAATGCACTGGAATAGAATACAAGACATTTGGAGTCTATCTAGTCTAAGGTCTAGTCTATATTGTTGCCCTTTTAATCAAATGAAATTCACCAAACATTTCTTGAATAATTTTTTATACATTACACATGAGCCCAAGTAGTTGTAAATAATGCTTAAATATTGTAGATATTCCCAGTAAAGAAAAGCAACACAACATAAAAGAGCAAATGCCAGCTCTGCTTTTTTTTTTCTTGGTAACATCATGAGGTATAAAGCTCCCAATTTCCACTTCCTGAACATATATTATAGGTAGTGTCTAGAGGGTCATGGACAAGTGTTCACCTTACAGACAAGGACAATAGGTTTCTTTTAAAGAGTTAAATCAGTGAGGGCCCTTCCTGGTGGTGTGAAGGTTTAAAACACAGCACTATAAAGCTAGCCACAGACACTGCACCCTGGATCGCCTGGCCAGGGAGCTGACCCACATGGCACAACAGACCTCTCCTGTCCTGCCCGCTGATCCATCCACCTGTTCTGGTCCTCACTTTGTCTCTGATGAACCCTCTCACCCCTGTACTTCTGGCCTGTACCCCAGTTCTTGTGTGCATAAAAAATAAATCTTGGGCCCTCCCTGGTGGCCCAGCGGGTTAAAGCACAGCACTAAGAAGCTTAAGCCACTTCCTCATGGGTTCAATTCCCGCCTGCCCCGGAGGAGATCCACACGGCATGGCAGACCTCTCCTGACCCGCCTGCTGCTCCCCTCAGCAGTGTACTTCATCAATCTGCCTCTTCTGCTCCCCACTCTGTCTCTGGTGAAGCCTCTCACCCTCCGCATCTCTGGCCTGTACCCCAGTTCTGTATGAATAAATAAATAAATCTTAAAAAAAAATAAATCTTAAAAAAAAAAGAATTAAATCATTGAAAGCTGAGTTATACATCCTTGCAACATCAAACACAGACTGAAATACCCAATACTATTATCTTTAGGTGACTAATCTATAGTCTCAACAAGGAGGTAAACAGCAGGGCAAACATATACAAAGCCAAGAGGAGACAGGTGACATGGCAGAATTAATAAACAGGTACTACAAATATTTTCATCATGGCAAAAGGATATTCTCTTCTCTAAGTGAATATACCAACTTTCTGGTTTATACATCAGTTCCTTGTGAGTGTAGAAAATGCAAGTTAGAGTTTCTGTTTTTGTGTACTGACAAAGATGGCTGAAAGACTGAAGCATAGACTCTGAACTGGGGTTCTTCACTGGGGCTGATGCACTGTATGACCTTGCCTGGCTGCCAAATGGCCTACCACAGTCAGATCTCATTGCAGCTCCCCCCACCCTCCTACATTCAAACAAATGTTTTCGACCAACGTCAGCACAGGGACTCCTTTCATCAGGATGACAACATAAGGCCAAGTGCATTCCATTCACAACCAGTCATGAACTCAAAATGAAATGTAACTGACACAGCCTGGGCTCTTAAGTGACCTTCAGATGCCACTGTCAATCAAATGATTCTAAAGAAAAATTAAGCTCTGACTATATTGCCATATTCATCTGGAATGCATTACTAAATGAAGACATGTAGTGGGGAATTTTTTGTTAGAACTTAAGAGTCAACCCTGTGGTAGATAGTGGAGGAGTGTGAAGGAGGAGAAGGGACTAAAATGGCACCCATAAGTTCTAAATGTCTGTAATGCTATTACTGGCATTTCTAATGCTAAAGTGAAAGTTCACTTCTGCTTCATGTAATCACATTCTGGTCCAGAATAGAAGACAGGAAAAGCTCTGGGGGAACTTAATTCTTATTCAGCTCACAATGAACATTGATACAAGGCAAGAATGCCCAGGGAAGTTTTATGGCCCTGAATTGGTAGCGGAATAGCACACAGCCTGAAGGACTCTTATCCATGTCGCTACATGAAATACTACAGCAGGATGTGTCTAACAGGAAATGGATGATGTCTCAGGTGGTATGGCCATACCCATGGTGCTGAACATCTTGGTGAGGACACAAGCATACCTAGTTTTCACATGACTCATGACCAGTACTGTTTAGGACAAGACTTTACCTCTATACCCAAATAATCCCTTTCTAATTTCAATGATTGTATCATAGAAGTTGATCTCCTTGTCTGAAGACTATATTCTCTCACCCTGATATGTTTCACATTTTCATTTTTTTCTTTGTTTTAGCACCATATTCTCCTGACTTGAATGTATGGAAACTTGGTTCTTTATAGGATCTAACACCTAAAGTCACTGAAGACCTTTTTCTAAGAGTCTCTTCTAAATGTCAATAGTTAACCTTTTTAATGACCCTCTGCCCCTAGCTCAAAGAAACCACGGGAAAATTTGCTGATTTTTACTATTCTCATTGATGTATCCAGTTCTATTATTTAAACTTAAATATGAAAACTAACTTCTTTGAATACTCTGCCATGTAATTCAGAATTTTTTTTTTTTAGTTTTAGTGGAATTTCTACTTTTAGTAGAATTTTTAATGTTTACAATAAAGCAAAATATTAAGTCCTTCACAGAGTCTCTTTGAGAGGAAAGGCAATGTGTGAAAGTATCACAAATGTCTTTCAGCTAAGGACCTCTGCAACTATTCTGCTGTGTACTAGAGTCAAATAAATAGGCAACACAGACTGAAATCTGAAGGGCAGCATAGTCTGATAGTACTTCGCTGTTAAGTCCATGCTCAATCCTACTGACACCACCACAGGATATTATGTTACCACTCAGAAAATATTACTTGTGACTTCTGAAAACAAAGATTTATATTTAATTGATTACTGAGAAGAGGGAATAGTGCTTTATGTAAGACACAGATTTCAAAAAAGGTAAGTTGGTTTTTGGTCTACTTTTTAGAGGCTAAGAAAGATGTTTACAAGAAACATTCCTTCTCTTTAAATGGCTCTTACTTCAAATTAAGCCTAAAATAACCAAGTTGATACAGTCGCCTTTGAAAATTAAGAAGGGATTAAGAAATAACATCATAACAGAATGGATCAAGAAAGAAATTGTTTCACCATAAAAGTATTCTAGTTACTGAAGAAGAAATGATGGGATTAGTATGTCATTATCTGGCAAATTTCTAAAGAAATAGTGAATCTGGACAAACATCATTAATGCCTACTACTGACATCATAAAGAGAAACTAGATTACTTTATACTTCTTGATAGAATACACAATATCATTAAAGAAGTATTCTTCCCCATCCAGGTTATATAGAGACCAAACTAATAGTTTACAAGACTCACAGGAGTCAAAAGCACATTAATTAATAAAAACATGGTAATATAATCTGCAAAATCTAAAATGTTGGAAATTCTACAGAAACTGATTTTTTTTTTCAAAAAAAAAAAAAGAAACTAATTACAAAGGGAAGAAAAGGATAAAAACTTCTGGATGAAAAGAAACTTGAGAGACATCAAAGGCAATGCATGAAATTTGTTTGAAACTTCATTAGAATGAACTGCAAGTGAATGAATAGAGAGTACATAGATAAACAGGGAAGTTAGAACTACATATTTTATGATACTGAGAAATTATGCATTTAAATGTTTTTAAATGCATGATAATGGCACTGGATTATGCTTGAAATGTATTTGTATTTTTTTAATGATATACTATCATTTAACTGATGAGTAGAGATCAGCTAGAATAAGCTGATGATTTTGTATCTGGGTACCAGATAGATGGGATTCACTATGGAATACTATCTTTTTATGCTTAAAATTCTTCATAATAAAACACTGAGAGTTTTAAAAGTTGGGGGAAAATGTGACAGTAATTACTTACCCTGTTGGATATCCTTCATTTCCAAATGCAAACTAGATATCAAAATGCCCACAGTTTGAGATCGTTTTCCATCCAATAGCTTGATGATCTGAAACAAAAAAAACAGAAGTACAAATGACCATGAACTCTTTAGAAGCAGACCAAAAACATACAGATGTTGATATATAAGCTATAATGTGAAACCTATACAATCTTATAGAACAATGTCACTTCATTTAAAATAAAAAAGACTTTCAGATACTGATTAACTAATGCTATAGGCACATTATTTCATAATACTTTCTTTTGAAGTAGAAATTGCTAAAATTATAGAAATTTTAGAAAATAAAGGAAAGATATCTATTGGTCTAATTAAGCACTGAAATCTTTATTATACTTTACTCTGATCTTTTTATTCAAACATGTCTCAACTAAGTTGCAATTGCAATTCATGTGCAGTTTGATATCTAACTTCTCCACTTCTTCTGGGATAGTCTCAATGTTGCCACTCAAGTCACTGCATTTCCTCCAATCTTCTTGTGTACTCTAATGAGTGGCTGACAAGCACTGTGATCTCACTGGTTCTGACACTGTTTCTTAATCTCATCATGATGCAACTTGAACATCTCACACATCGAATGACATCATAGATGTAAAGCGGTTAAAGTTGTTCTTCACACAGATTTATTATTTAATGAAATTGCCCTGTTTTGGAGAATTACATCATAACTGCAGGTATTAATAAATAAGGTGATACATTTAGTGGAACTAAACCTCAAGAGTTTTCTAAAAATCTCTGCTGCCTTCTTCAAAAGAGGGGTAGTCATCTGTGAAGTCAAAACACTTGTATTCTTTCCCTATTTGTGTCAAATTCTCTGCCTCTAACTAGACCTTTAATATATATACTTCTAGGTTTCACTGTGGAAACCTAGGTTTTTAACTGTGGAATAATCCTGGATTTCTCAAAACCAGTAAAATGGTAGGCACATAATGGATCCTGAATGGATGAATGGATGTTTGTTCTATGTTGTCTTGTTTCCTTTTTTCTTTGTCAAGTAGACGGGCTTAGATTTTTGTTGTTTTTCCACTGGAGTAAGAAAAGACAAGATTCACCAGAGTCCCAATTTCTCCATATCCATAACCTTCCCAACACTTGGCATTTACTGTCTTCTTGTTTCCATAATGGCCATCTTAACAGTTCTGAGGTGGTTATCTCACTGTGGTTGCGATAAGCATTTCCTTGTTGATTAGTGATATTTAGCATCGTTTTATACACCTGCTGGCCATTTGTAAGTATTCTTTGGAGAGATGTTTTTCAAGTCCTATGCCCTTCAGTTTTGTTTTTAACTCAACTGTAGGAGTTTCTTATATATTTTGGGTATTAATACCTTTGACTATTAGACCTGGTTAGCAAATATTTTCTCCCACCCCACAGGCTGCTTATTCACTTTGATTGCTTTTTTTGTTGTACAGAAAACCATTTTAGTTTGACAGAGTTGGAATGGTTCGATATCTGTCTCTTTTTGCCTTTGCTGCCTGTGCTTTGATACTGTTATGAAATTTCTCCCACTGTTATGAAATTTCTCCCACTGTTTTCCTTTAGGATTGTTATATTTTCAGATTTTATATTTAAGCTTTTAACCTATGTGAGTTAATTTTTATGTGTAGCATAAAGGTACAATTTCATTCTTTTTTTTTTTTAAGATTTATTTATTCATATAGAACTGGGGTACAGGCCAGAGATGCAGAAGGTGAGAGGATTCACCAGAGACAGAGCAGGGAGCAGAACAGGCAGATGGACGAAGTACACTGCTGAGGGAAACAGCAGGTGGGTCAGATGAGGTCTGCCGCGCCATGTGGATCTCCTCTGGGGTAGGGCAGGTGGGGATTGAACTCATGCGGAAGTGGCTAAAGCTTCTTAGTGCAGTGCTTTAACCCGCTGTGCCACCAGGGAGGGCCCAATTTCATTCTTTTATATATGAATATCCAATTTTCCCAGCACCATTTGTTGAGATTATCTTGTTCCCATTAGTCTTGACACCCTTGCAGAAACTCACCAAAATCACCTATACCTGCCTTATTTACATATGTACTTATTAGACAGTGTGAATGAGTGGTCATAATCATTACCTTGAAAATGTTTAGAATCCAAATTGCCTGTGATTGTCAGATATTTAACAGTCTTCCCTTTTTTGGAGTAGGAAATTTAACTAAGGCATTAAAAAATAACCACAGGATTTTAAATGCAAAATTACATTAAGCTACATATTAATTTAAAAATTTAATCAGCACCAATCCATTCTTCAACCATTATGCTTGTTACTATACTATTATTCTGTGCTATCTTAATTTAATTTTAAAAGTTGTCTGGTTTAAATCAAAGGTTCCAAGCAGTGTAACAATCTAATTAAAGATGCAAATGAAACTAAGAATTATAGCTATAATCACAAAATTAAAGAAACAAATGAAACTAAGAATTATAACCATAATCTCAAAATTGTATAATCACAAAAATAATTGCCCTTTAACTCTAGCATGCTGAGCTATCATGGCTCCTAGGCCAGCTATGGAAAGCGACAGGCATCATAATCTGTGACAGTAGAAGACAAAAGCTCAGGAGATCAACCTTCTATGTCTAGGGCTGCCCTGACTCATCACACCAAAGCTGCCTAATTTAACAACACTCACAAAAAGCAAACTTCTACAGTGATGCGCTGAGAGGGATATGTACATAGGTAGATATGTATACATCCTTGTTCAATGTGAAGTCAAAGGCTAGTTTCAGGGAAAACTCATGTTAAGTCGGCTGCAGGTGAGTGATTTAACATGTTTTCTAACTGTTCTTAGGTATTGATCCCTAATATGTCAGGTGTTTTGGGTTCTGCCTCCAAGACCAATGTATATGTTGGGGGGGGGCGCTAAACCCCACACTCCCAGGAAATTCTCCAGCCATCAGCTTACTGACCTACAATTCAACTCAATTCTGACATTATCAAGCTAGAGATTACATCAGATTTCACAGGGGAATAACAGCCTCACAAGACTGCCTACACCCCGCAGTCCCCCAGAAGGCAATGACAACTGTAGGTTGTCACCTTTATTCTCACCAACTGGCTAGATGTTAATTTGCTAGAGCAGCTCACAGAACTCAGAGAAAGACTCTATTTAACAAATTATCAGTTTACTATAAAAGGGTATGACTCAGCAACAGTCAGGTGGAAGAGATACAGAAAGCAAGGCAGAGGCAGTATGGAGCTCACTCTCCCTGAGCACACCGCTCTCCCAAAGCTTCCCTGGAGTCACCAACTCAGAAGCCCCCTGAACACTGTCCTTTGGCTTTTTGTGGAGGTTTGATGATATAGGCTCAGTTAATTCAATCACTGGCCACTAGGACTGATTCAACTTCCAAGCCCACTCCCTCCCTGGAGGTCAGGTGGTGGGATGGAAATTTCCAACCCTTTAATTCTGGGGCAACAAACCCTTATCCTTAGGTGTTTCCAAAAGTCACCTCATTCACATAATAAGAGACAACTTTGCAGCTCTCTTCACTCAGGAATTTCCAAGGATTTTGGGAGCTCTGTGGCAGAAATGGGAAAAAGACCAGTACATAGTTCTTATTACTAATCATGGACTTACACCATCAGGGGACTTACACCATCAGGACTTATTGAAAATTGGCTTTTTTTTTTCCAAGTGAGATGGTTGTTTTTAGCAGTCTTTCTCTGAGTAATTTGAATCCTCCCCCCAGAGTGACTGTTCAGTACCTTTTTCTGGAAACAAAGGTCCAGGTTCTCATTTTTGAGGAAACCTCTCCAGGAAGCATAGTTAAGAGATAATAAACTCTGCAGAGGACAAACCCCAAATGAACATGTAACTCATGTTCTGGTAACCCAGGTAGAATGGGCTCTTTCCATTTGGAAGAGGCATTAATTCCAGCCAGCAGGAATTCACATTGTAGAAGACTATATGGCCAGTCCACATTTGATTGGTGGCTATTGGTAGGATCCCTGAATCCTTGGAAGCCCATAGTGCCATAACACATACATCAAATGCATGGGTTTCCATGCTTATGTGGAACCATTAGCCAGAATTATGCACAAAGGCTCCCAACATGACTTCCATCCATGTAGATTACTGGAAAAAAGAGCCCACTTCCAGGCTGTTTACTGAGAATGTTTCAGAAAAAAAATTATGAGAGAGTAAAAATACAAAATAAAAAAATCTGCTTATCCAGTAAGTTCACTGTTTGAAGTAAATTTTGGGATCATATCACCATTACCATTGAAGAAACCTGTAAATGTTGCCTAATTTATCCTCTGTCTTGGGTTATCCAAGAAGCCCAGATATTTAGGGAGAGTGCTTACTTCAGAAGAGAAAGCTCACACTTTAAGAAATTATTAAGGCTACATTTACACGATGCACATACATTTGTAGTTATCTTCTGTCATCAAATAAAATACAGTCCTACCTCTGCTAATTGTAAAGACAACCTACACTTTTCATCCTATTCTTAATCTATGACAAATCCTAATACTCATTCTTCATTCTTTGTCCTCATGTACATATGACTTAATTTGTTATAATCCTCAAAATCATTTTCTAGCATTAACTTTTGGCACCAAAACGTTTTACTTTATGTCTGAGTCAAATTACTCATGCTTCCATTTCAAACAATCTTTTTCTTCTTCCTGAGAAGGCAGACAATAGCTGGTCTCACCATCTCCTACAGAAAGCTCCTTCATAAACCTCTAGATCATTTTTTTAAAAAAAAAAAAAACAAGAGATGCTTTATATCAGCCTCTTAAAGATCATTTTTTTGAGCAACGTGAGCAAGCCTTCAGTTTATCTTAGTCCTATCTGGAGTCAGCTGAACTTGGAAGCCAGTGGCCTTCTCTGAGGTATAATTACAGTCTGGAGGAGAAAGCAATTTGTGCAGCATTCCACCGACCTACAAGCTGACCTTGTACAGGGCAAATTCACAGGTTGCGTTAAACCCTATTAGACATGCCTAGTTTAAGGAAAAGCCTTTCCAGACCCCGCCGCATGCTGGGCCTAGGCACGTCACACATGCGCGCTACTCCACCCCCTAAGGAGTTCTCTCTCCCACCA